ACCATACGACATTTCAGCACTAAAAAGATATATTCTTCCTCAGCCGAAGATACAAGTTTAATAATCAAAAGTATGTGAATGAAAAATAATAGTATATTTAAAGAAAATTTTAAATTGAAGAAAATTAAATGAAAAGTATGTGTAGAGAGACCATAAACCCATGTAAATAGTTAAATGTAAATAATATAGACACTCCACAAAGTGAATTACATACCAGAAGAAATATATAAATTAAAAAAACATAAAATAGACGCTCTGCAGTGTAATGAAATATTAACTTAATTAAGAAAAGTGTGATGTGAGAAAAGATGTTAAGGAATAATAACTCATATGAACTATAATAATAGTGATGAGAAATTCATATTCCCCATTGTCCCCAATACATAAACAATAGTACTTCCTTTCTCATATCTTTAATGTTATTAATTGTTATAATTTTGTCGTTATATTGTTCATGATTCAATAATTGTGTTGATTAAGTATTTGTATTTCAATAACCATGTTCCACCCATCGTTCTTTATTAATAGTTAAGTCTTCTTTTATTAAATGTTCACATTTCAAACCAAAATTTATTTCACTGTGTATCGAAACCTCATATTACCTGTAATATTCAGTTTCTGCGGGGATATTGCAACAGTTCATAAAATTTTGTATAATTAAATAATATATAAATAGCCTATTACCAGTCAATTAAGCCTAAAAGCCTATTTAAAATATACTATGTTTAAAATCTATTTCAAACACAAGCTAAAGTAAAAATAATTATATATATCCAAACATAATCTCAAAAAGTAATTTACCCAAATTAAATTTCATATACTATAAATTGGCCTAAGTGACTAAAAAGTAACAGTGAACATCAAGATCTAGAAGACCTGAATACATTGTTGCTGAAAAACATGTGTTAGGTAACAACTGGATTTCCTTCTTCTACCATGAACTAGCCTGATAAAAGTGTAAAAACTAGTTTGTATGATTTTTATATTATAATATTTTCTAGTAAAAAGTGAAAAGCTAAACCAATAGTCTAATTATTTCAAATAGTTTAAACAAGAAGAAATGTGGAAACTTGGAAGAAACTTGGTAATCTCCATCTTATTATTACAGACAATTCTATTTAGGTGTTGGACAATTTGAGAACATTAGCCTAATTCTGAGGTGGATCGAGTAGCCTCCTAGCTGTTAAAATTTATATTCTTGATTCAAGTAAAGACTTTTGTTTTAGAACAATCTTATCCAAATTCGATATAAAATTATTTAGTAAAAAAGAAATCAAAGGCTAACTTTATTATCATAAAAAAAAGTTTCAAATTAAAATAGGCTATTAGCAAGGAAATTGGTAATAAAAGAGAGTTCCAAGCATGAACCTAAAAACCCTGAGGTTGCATAATAAAAAAGTTATAAATTCGTACAATATGACATTATTCTGAATAAATGTATTGTTACTTTTAGTAATATAACAACTTTTGTATATAAATTGTATACTTCTGATTATATTTATATTATATGTTTCAAATGTTCAGCGCAAAATTGTTGATATTCCCCAATTTCTGTATTTCCCCCTGTAATTCTGGTAAAAAAATTATTTGAAACAAATCAATCACATTTCCACGTAGGAAAATAAATTGCCTACATTTCATATATCTTAGATTAATTGTAAAAAAATTTGTGTAAAAATGCTTGGTCTCTGCTTTTGAAAATTATTCCTTTTACTTTCTCCCCCTATACGGATATATATGGATGTATATGGAGAAAGTATTGTTTTCGTCAAAATTTTCGAGTTTGAGTTTTGAGTGGATATATTCGTTTTGGGTCCCCCTGGACCCAAAAAAGTGGTTTTCGAAGTGATGTCTTTGTGTGTGTGTGTGTGTGTGTGTGTCTGTGTGTCTGGATGTGTACAGAGCTAGAGACCACACCTGTGGTCCGATTTCGATGAAATTTGGTATGTAGGTTCTAATTCATGGTATCTCCAGGCGTTTTTTTCATTTTTTTGAAATTTTTATTTTTAATGGGGATTTTTCCATAAAACCCCATAAAAAACCGGAAAAATCGGATTTTCTCAAAAACGGCCCGAACGATTTTGATAAAAATTTAGTATGTTGTAGCCCTTTAAATTCTGAAAAAATGGTATAAATCCCATATCTGTAAAAATTACGGTTCAAAATGTATGGTCAAATATGTTATTTTCCCATAAAAACCCCATAAAAAACGAAAAATAGGATTTCAGACAAAAATCCGGTTTTGATTTAACATAGTATGTTATAGTCCTTACAGTTTTGACAGTTTTTTTTTTAATTTTTTAGAAATTTTTATTTTGAATGGGGATTTTCCCATAAAACCCCATAAAATAAAAGAAAAATATGATTTTCCCAAAAATGGCCCGAACGATTTTGATAAAAATTTAGTATGTTATAGTCCTTTATATTCTGAACAAAATGGTACAAATCCCATTTCTGTAAAAATTATGGTTCAAAAGTTATCGTAAATTATGTCATTTTCCCATAAAACCCCCATAAAATAACAGAAAAATATGATTTTCCCAAAAATGGCCCGAACCATTTTGATAAAAATTTAGCATGTTATAGTGCTTTAAATTCTGAACAATATTGTACAAATCCCATTTGCGTATATTTACTCTCACCACTTACACATAATAAAGGTTGTTTACAAACTTATGGGAGAAAGTATGTGTCAGAATGCTGATACCGTTTATTTTTTATTTTTTTATTTTTTCACACTTTGCAAAAAAATCACAGGGATTCCTGATATTTTCTTTTATTCAAAATCTCCTTTCTTTTCTGAACAAAACAATTGTGAATATGACTAGGTTATGAACAGTACTTTAGGCACTGCGAACTGTTAAAAAAAACCTCTGCATTAAATAGGCCAGGGCAGTCCTACGGTTAAACACACTTACTCAAACAAAACAAAAATTGCCTAACTACGTACAGCAAAAAATCTTGTAAAGAACAAACCAAAAGATAGACTAGACTAGTAAACTGCTGGTACCGTTGTCATCATAGACTACTAGCTACTACTAAATCATGTTTCAGAACAGAAGAATATGGATAAAAACATTAAATAACTCATAAAACATCATAAAATCATAGTACTTAAGTCTTAGAGATATTAACAACAGTCGTAAAATAAGATAAATATGACAATGATGTAAAACAACACTTATTATTATTCTCTTTGTTCTTCTATTCTTTCTTTGGTTTCTCTTCATTCACACATTCAACGAGTTGTCATGGTTACTAATCACCCAACCACAAACTGTTGTGACATAGTAAGTGCATAGCAGACAGATTGTCAATGCAAGCGGATAGTTTGACCTTGAAGCTATAGATCAATATTAACTTTTCTTGCTTCCATTTTATTATTTTTGTCACATAAACTTTGATGTTTAAAAGCAATAACGGAGGAACGTACTGCATATGAAAACTGCATGTAAAAAATGGTCAGAAATAGTTAAATATACAGTGCATTTCAACATATTAGACTGAAAAACACAATTTAGAAAATTTTCTTGGTATTTTTTTGAGGTTGTGGGTAACATACGGTAATTTATGAAGTATCAATAGACCACGGTTGATCCGCCACCGGTTAATCGACGTTCTACTGTATGTTGTCTAAATGATTATGACATTGATGGGCGATGTTCAGGATTTTTTCGTGATCACGGGTTCTGCATTGGTTAATGAAGATTTTTGTTGATGGGGATTAAAATTAGTTTTTTAAAATCTTTCTTCAAGTGATTCAGGTAGTTGGAGTTCTACTGTATATTAGCGTAGTCACAAAATTGGACTGAAATGGTGGTGAAAAGTATGTTGAACATCACACATTTCCTGATAACACAAATCCTTCAAGGCTGAAAAATAATTCAATTTACTGTGAGTGTAAAAGAAGTTAATACCAACGAACAAGTACTAAGCTGTAAATAGTGATTTTGAGAACCGACGTGTTAAGGGTATTTTGATCCCAATAGTGAGCCAAAAAATACCGCAGACTAAAGGGCAGTTAAAACAAAACCAAAGCTCCAATTATTGGAAACCAGTGATTGCAGAAGGATTTGTGAATATCTGCTGTGATCACGACATTATAATAATCTCACACGATTGCAGTAACCTTAGTGTTTCACTACACTGTGATTTTTTACTTGACTCGGCTACAAGAAAAGAAAAGCATTGAATCCCCCAAAGAATAAATATAAAAAACCATGGCGCCTATTATTAAAAAGTGTAAATTTATGACGACCCTATTCAAAAAATGGCGTACAACTCACAGACTTTTTCTGGGTCATCAAAACTTCAGCTCAATTCCTGGAGAGCCTAGATATTAATAATTTTTAATTATTTTGCAATTTTAAACTAGTAGGCTCATTTTACAACAATATAGGGTTGCCAAAGATAGGGCATTCAGGGAAAACAGGGAATTATGTGTGCATTTTGTAATTTCACTGGAAAAGCCTGCTTCTAGTCCACGTTCACAGCAAAATCGTAAACCTCTTTTGCGGTCTTGGCAAAATCGTAAATACATTCCACAGTCACGGCAAAATCTAGAAAATCCTTCGCCTTTCTGTAAGAACCTTTCTGTAAACAGCTAATCAATATTTTATAAGTGACATAGTCTCTAAAAAGGTGATTGGTAGCTGTTGATAATGATGTTAGGAGAAAATGTGTCCAATATTACACATAACTGGGGTTTTGAACAGTCCTAATTTTATTTTAAAGTAGGTTAGGCCATGATTCAATAGCTAAATTCATTCTCACCAATTTATTGAATATGGGAAAACAAAGTTTTTATCTTGATCACACGGATAATAGACGGACAGAAATTGCGATAATACCTGTTTTAGCATTTTTAGGCTATAAAACATAAATTTAACAAAAAACATCCTTTTTTGTAAACCAGTAGCAGTACAGACCAAGTACACAGCTGAGTGTGAAGTCAAGTTGGTAGGTAGTTTTACCACAGTAAGGTGTTATGTTTGGTCTAGGCAACTCCACAGATGAGCTCAGGATGGGTGCCAGCGGAGTTACCATCACCAGGACTACATCCCCTGCGGTATAGTGAGGCTCCTGCTTATCATCATCCTCACCACCCCCACCACCATCATCATCATCCTCACGTCGATGACTACCGCATCACTGCCTATCAACAGGTCAGGATTAGCTTGATAAAAACATTTAAATGTTGAGGTTTTCGTCCTAAAACTTTACTGATGCAAATATATTGTCTAAAAGTGTCTAAATAATTTATCGTTAATGGTACAGTTTGTGAAAATATAACTTTCAAAGAACATTTGTTTGTCAAAAAATCTGCATTTTGCTAAAGTTATCTAATAAAGCGAGCTTTCTTGCACTGATTATAGCAAGCAAAGTAGCTGACTCCTGCATTTACTTACACTAGATAACCTGTTGCTCGAAATCGAGCAAAACTGAAACTTGTATAAAAAAATAAACCAAAAACATAAACAGCAATACCTTAATCAAAGAGTCATTTAAAAATAATTTATATGACTGATTATAGAAATATAAAAATATTATGATATCAAAAAATATAAAAGCAATCTACAATATTTAAATTTACATTCACTCTCATACTGCTTTGGTTATCTGTTATGTATAGTGGGGGGGTGCCCTATGAGCACGTAGATGTCAACCACACACTGTAAAGTGAGCTTATTAGTTTTGGGAAAAACTATATGATTTATTTGGCCAGGTGGTGCTTTGTTTTCAGCTTTAAAAATTGCTGCGAAATCTACACAGGTAGCACCATTGTAGCGAGGGAAGACACTTATTCTGTCTCTTATTATGTACATTAGAATCTCACTTGACTCCTCGGAGCTCTCGTCCCGACATAATGTCTGCCACAGCATAGATGAAGTAATATAGTTAATATATTATAAGTAATATAGTAATATTATATTACTTCATCTATGGCCACAGTCTTCAAAGATTTGAAAATGGATTGGCATTGTGACCCTATTTCCCGCATATTTTTTCATTGCATTTTTTTTTATTGCGCTTAGTTCTCCTTTGGGTTCTAGTGACATTGTCGTACTTAATTATATCAGTGTGTATTCAGGATCATCACCTACTTGAGGAATTTTCATTTATTATTTAGTAAAATTTAATTTGGACTTTTATTAGCTAATTTTTGAAACAATTTCATTTAGGTTTTGATTTTTTTGTGAGACAATTTCATCTAAGTTTGACTTTGTTAATTTTTGAAACTGCATAGTAAAAGTTAACCTGTATATAAATACAATTAACCCATTATTTATGCTTTAGAGTAACAATAGGACAAATATAATATATGAAACCAGCACAATGTTGCTCTGCTGCGCTATCCTCAATTTTGAGGGTAAACATTTTTCTCAGGTGCAGCAAAGTGCTACTTTGCTCACTAGTTACACAATAGTTATTTGTGTAACTAGTGGTGAAAGTGGCACTTTGCTGCACACGAGAGCAATGTTTACGCACGAGCCGCCAGTGCAGCAAAGGCCTTTTTCACTCGTGTTACACATTATATTTTTCCTACAGTCACTATAAAACATAAATAATTAGTCTTTCAAACACTATACAACACGTTTTTAGGTTCAGCTAGCAACACAATTACACAAATGGTGCCCTGGAGAAAGTAGTACCCGTGGTCCGTATCACTCCGCTATTTTTCCTCGGCAAGAAATGTGCTCCGTCTTTTGAGAATATAGTTCCGTATGTTTTTGTAATTTGAAGTGGTTTCCGCGCCTAAAAAAAATGCTTTAAAGGTATTTTCTTGTTTATTAAGACCGTAGGAATGTTTTAAAAACGTTTAAAAGAAAAGTCCAGAAAGTTCAGAAATACCAAAACTATAAACACGAAATGACAGGTTAAATCGTAGTTATAATAGTCAATCAGCTGTTCATAGTATTATTATCTTTAAGTGTTGCCAACCTATTTCCAAGCGTACACGGATTACGTGCATAATAAAACCACGCTGTTTTGTGTTGTTTGGTTGGAATCCTGATGTGCGGCAAAGTATAAACCGTGCGGCAAAGTATAAACCGTGCGGCAAAGTATAAATATGCAGCAATTAGCAGGCTTTCTGTACTATAAACAGTACAGGGAAGCCAACTTTGTCGGGTGACTGTAGGAAAATAACTATTTTAGTTTTAAAAATTCATAGCTTTTTTGTTTATGATACGAGTATATGATGAAATGAAATGGTATTTGTTATTTTTGCCATTGACATGTATAAACTGTTACAGATGCCATTCAACCAAGCTATCCTGCCAGCCCATGCACTTCACCCTCGTCACTCCACACACAATCTGTCCCAGAGTCGCGGACAGCCACCTGGTAAAGCTATGTAGATAAGATAACAGTTTGTAGAGCAAGTTGAAAGACATGAATGTTGCTGCAATATAAGACAAACCTTCAAAATAGTCTTATTGCCTCTAGACTTAGCGAGTGGCTTCTAACAAATAAGGTGCCATTTGAAGTTTATTGAGGATAGTAAATACTTTATCAGGGCCGGATTTAGCATTTTGGTGCCCCTAGGCCCAATAACCTTTCCGCCCCTTAGTCTGGTTGAAATGACTACAAACCTTTATTAATGCTAATTGCTTGAACACCACTCCACAATGAAAGTATTTTTAACACTTTACTTGGTTCTGTCTTTAAAAAAATTCCATCTTTAACACTTTTAGCAATTTTATGTTTTAAATAATAATTCACGTTTTGTGGGACTGAAACAAAACAAACTAACTCGTAGAGCATTCTTGCAAAAAATCATGACCACTGCATTGCTGCTACCTCAGTGACTTCCAATTTCAGGCCAAAAACATTAACTCCGTACAGTTCGTGATACCCATTTGTGAGCCCAGATACCGCACCAAGGGCGGGGCGAGCGGGGCGACCGCCCTGGGCGCCGTGGCTAGGGGGGCGCCATGGCTTTGGAAGGTTTAAAAGTTAAAAACGTTATCGGCAAACAGCAAACAAATATTTTAGAGGAAACGCGTAACATGTTATCAATGACTATTCTAAAGCAATCTATATCTTTCGTTTTGTTCATAAAATGGTACCCTGTTATTTAATATACAACTCGTATATTAAATAACAATAATTTTATTGGATTTAAATAATTCGTGTGTGTCTGTGAACGCGATAACTTGAGTAGTTTTTGTCCGATTTTGATTAAATTTGGTTTAAAGGTGTAAGGCGGGTTAAACTTGAATGAGTTTGCGAACTAGCATGATCGGACCATGGGAACGGGGTTTTACGGGGGGTTTTATGGGGTAAATATTGGTTTTTCTAATTTTTTACCCTCAAAACACAAAATTTCCCAATTTCTCTCTAGACCTTTGAAAAAAGCTTAAAAAAACAAATAATTTAGTATATTGAAGTGTTTTTGTACGGTTATTGGTAACGGAGAAAATTCAAAAAATTATAAATTTAAAATCCCCATGTTATTCTTATAGAGAATATTGGAAAATGTAGTAGTTTGCTTGTTTATTGATATATTTTGATCAAACTTGGCAAATATATTTATTTTGTACTAAGCTATTAATATTTTACTAAAAAATACACTTTATTGGTTTCCTTGTTGCAGCAAACCTAAGTACTCGTTAGACCTAATGTTATTTAAATAGATTTAATTGAAAATCAATACAGACAAATGGAAATTCGCTTAGTCAGCAGGTTTGCTGCGGCGGGGGTATTTAATATAACACATCTGTTATAAGTCGATAATTATAAATTGATGTTCCCGTGGTTGAAAATAATTATTCTGTAAACTTGTAAAACATTAGATAACTCATATAAGTATAAAATCATACATAAAGATAATAATTGGACTCCTAAAAAGGATATTAAGATAACAACATAAAAATATAATTATACTTTCTCTTCGTTCTTCCATTCTTTCTTGGGGGTCCCTTCATTCTACGCATTACTCATAATCAGCTGAGCTTTTATCATCGCAGTTATTGATAACAACAGTTTTTTTTCTTATTGTAGCTATTAGAGAGTAATAACATAGACTAAGCAAAGTATTTTTTATCTATGGTAATAAACAACAAATGCTTTCTGTTACTAAATCTTACAAATATCTGGATTATAGTAAATTAGGCCTAAGTCTAGGTTTCATTTGATTTCTATAACTACTATTGTATGGGCCTATTACATTATTCAGAACAATGTTCAATCTACAATTGTTTTGTTTAATAGTAAGGCAGGCTACTTATAGGCCTATTTAAGTACCTACTTTATTTTGAACATACATTTTGAGTATTTTGACGGAATGTTTTTTTACAACAGACAAGATTAGAACATTTAATTTTCTTTAATTTTAAAACTTTATTTTTCCTTTAACCACTGTCAAACCATTGGAAATTGTGTATGCCCACTGTTACAAAAACCACACTAACTAAGAAAAATGGTAATAAACTTATAAAACTAAAGGTGAAAAGGTAATATATATGAGGTTACATTACCTTAATCGCCAAGTGATCCATGTAGTCCAAAACTAGGATTACGTACGTTTCAACGTCAATGTGCCATTGTCAAATCTACAAAAACTTTTTTAAACCATAAGGGTCACGTCATAGTCTTTCCGACACACAAACGAAACAATAACAAACAAAAATACATTTAAGTAGGCCTACTAACTAATTTATGGTAAACGGTCGTCACAACATAGTAGGTACAGATCTGATCGCATGCCGAGAATCAACTGATGGTGCGCCGCTTCCTGGTTTATCAATTTGGACTTTGTCCTCTGCCACCTGTATCATCTAGTTGTGAGCTATTTAGTTTTATGAGGGATTCAAACAATGCATTTGACTGGAAAACACATTTGTCATTCAACAAATTTTGAGGCTGGTTCCTTGTAGCTTTATAAATCTCATAATTTTCCAATGCAGTTAATCTATGTCTTTTCTGCAAATGTGTAATGGTTTTAAATTAGTATTAATATTTGTATAGTTGTGGTTGCTATTGGTCAGATGTGCTGCAAAGTTAGATTTTTGTCATAAATGTGAAAAGGTAGGAACTACCAAAGATAGTCCTGTACATGGACACAGATAGTCCTGTATATGGACACAGTTAGTCTTTGACATTGCCTAGCCATATGAATTATTTATAAAACCCGCCCTTGAAAAAATAAAAAACGTATCTGTATTTGGATCCGAGGATCCGGATCCGATTTTTTCAAGATCCGGATCCGGTACCGACATTTTCTTGGATCCGCCCATCACTAATTTGGATACATGATGAATATATTATATTTTTATATTGCTTCAACACTAATACCTAAAAATCAAATGGGTTTTATTACTGTATTTGTTTGTATAATCATTCAAGAAACAAGAATGATATTACAGTATACAGTTATAAACTTGCATCTGTTAGTCTGTCAGGATGTTTATCAACAAAAGCCCTAATAAAAAAGATTAAATACCATATGTTGTCTAACACATATGACTAACAACACACAGACCATGAATCCAAGGCCCCAGTAAAGCTGAGAATTAAGAGTCCTGGTGGCGTCACTAATATTTATCTGTAGAGTACAGTAAATACTTTTGCTGAAACGGCTTACATCATGCTTTGCTTGCTATCTTGCTTGTTGCTATGTTCCACTTAAAGGCCACAAGATGGATATTCAATTGCAGGGTTAATTAATACTAGCTCCCAGCCTTAAAAACAATGTTAAATTGAAAACACCCAAACACATGTTCTAGGAGCTGGATTAGATTCATCAGAAGAGATGCCATTACCTCCTGGATGGTCTGTTGATTTCACACTGCGAGGGCGCAAGTATTACATTGACCACAACACTAAGACCACCCACTGGAGTCACCCCTTAGAGAAAGAAGGTCTACCTACTGGATGGGAGCGGATTGAGTCCCCTGAATATGGTGTATACTACGTTAAGTAAGTTTACTTTGTCTAAATAAGTAAACAGAAAAGTATATCCACTGTTATATCTTTCAGCCTTACTTACAACAGGTCTCCAAAGCAAAACTACGTGCGGTTCATTTACACGCAACTTGGACTGTGTAAGCCCGCAGAAAGTTTTTGGATTTTTCCTCCTCCGTTGCAAAAAGTTAAAAAATTCTGCTTTGGGGCAACAGGTTATCGTTTGCAAATATTTTATAGGTATGTTAATAAGAAAATGAAAAAAAGTCTGCATATAAATTTCTTGCCTGAAATTAATTTACTATATCTAGATATTGATAACTATAGTTCGTCCAGCACTGTTATTTATCACATTACACATTATCACATCTGTGACTCATTATACCGTCTGTTAACAGTCACATCACCAGGGCTGCGCAGTATGAACATCCGTGCGCTCCTCACTATATCTATCAGCCTGAGTTGAGGATTCAGCTAGAGGTTCCTCGCTTGCTTGCCTCTCCACCTCGCCACACACATTTTCACCCTCATAGTGTCTTGGTTCCAGCAAATCCTTATCTAAATCAAGGTTTGTTTTTTTACAATCTTATACAATAGGCTACTAGCTGTGAGCATGTCCTACGCATGGAAATCAAGTATTCGGTTAACTGGTTTTTTGTGTAGGAACGATCCAACTTGAATCTAGATCAATCATGTCCAATTTTGAAAGCAAATAAAAATACACAGTAGCTCCTAATCTAAGTAGAAGTAGGCTATAGTAAACAGGTACAACAAAATATTCAGAAAAAGACTAAACCGGAGAAAGGTTCAAACATGCAACGCGTAAATAACTTAAATATCAAACATGCTCTTATTGGTTGGACAGATGGGAAGAGTGTGGGTGGAACTCGGAAGTGCAGCTTTCTCCAAGTTCTGGGATGTTTTGACATTATTAATAGCTAATCAATCAAGGAGCTGCACAATTGGCTCGCAACTCAAAATAAACAAATGTTAAGAATGGAATGTGATATTTGGCAATTTCAAAAATATACTATACTAGCAGAGTACCCATCCTTCGTACGGGGTTGGCAAATAAGTATAAAATAGGTATACTCCGTCTTTGCATTTGCCATGTGAGAAGACACGGTTTGAGAAAATTTGCTTCCTCAAATTTACGGTATGCTTAGTATTACACATGTACCATAGCCATAATGTTCTACCACTGTGAAGTACACAATAGAGAAAGATCGATTATTAAAAATTCGTAAAATATCACAAATTATTCATGAAATTAAAAACATAAACATAACTGTAAACAACCCTACATAACAGTTCCTAACACATAACAGTTCCTAACACATAACAGTCCTACATAATCCTACACGTAACAGTTCTCATTGCGAATCACAGTTTTTGTTGCTGCTTAGTTTTCAAATTAGCTGTTTTCATAAATAATGAAAAAAATAATAGTGCTGCACCCCGTTAGTAAATCTTATAAATTTTTAATGCTTTTGCATATCATAGAACCAACTCTTTTAGTTGAAACAGCTGGCTAAATTCTTCAATTCCCCTAATATGAATGAGTTAGCCCTATTGTTGTATATGAGTTGTATATGAGACCCTCTGGGGCGGAGCCCGAAAGGATTTTTAAAATAAGAATATGCCTATATGTTAATCGGGAATGTGAGCTATCATCATGCAAAATTTCAGCCCAATCCGACCAGTATTTTTCGCGTTTACTTGTCACAAACATACATACATACATACATCCAAACTTTCTCATTTATAATATTAGTAGGATAGATGCTCTGGCTTCTTGTTCTGATTGATATCTGTCTCCTGACCAGGTAGGTTTGGCACACCTACCTGCAGTACTTATCAACAGTACTGCTGCCTGGCAGTAATGATTTAGAATCACTATACTCAAAATCACTATACTATCACATCTCTCAAAGCCAAATTAAAATCTATGAAATGAAGGCAAGTAAAACAAATGTATATGTTTTTAAAAGCATAGAATTGTCCAAAATACAGAGCAAACACACTTTCTACAGAGATTCCTCATTGGCTGAGTGTTTATTCACGAGCATCTGCAGAACTGGATCACAAGTTGCGGTGGGAAATGTTCCGTCTTCCTGAGTTGGACTGCTTCAATGCAATGCTGACTCGCCTTTACAAACAGGAACTTGAGGAAATAGTTATGCGATATGAAGCTTACAGGTAAATCTTTATCAATATTTATATTTATTCCATATTATTTATTCGCATAGGTTCTACAATAAAGGTTTTCCCTGTACATCCCTTAATCAGTCATCCTACTTAACAGATTTTTACGTTTGACGTGTCATTGTACAGCGTATGTGATACATGATCTAGCAGAGTGACTAATTGTAACTAAAAAGGCCACTTCCTTTAGAGCTTCGCCTTCCAGCGTTTGATTTTTAAAAGTTTATTTTAACCTTTAGCGGTCCATAGGCGAACTGAGTCCGACATTGCGTCATTGACAGTTCCGGTCCTTTGGCGGACTCAGTCCGACACTATTGCGCAACTTATTTCGGAGCTATACATCGACTTAAAACGCGATGGTTTGCCGATGCATAGGTTATACAGATATCGGGTAATCGATATATTTCACTTTTAGTCTGTTCCAAATCGTAAAAAGTAAAAAAAAAACAAGTGTCAGATTGTTGTCAGCTCGAGCTCGCTAGCTGTCAGCTGTCACCAGAGTCTGATCGTCATTGCTGCTAACCTCTATTGTTGTTTTAGTACGTTGTGGTGTATTTTATTCGTGTTTGTGTTATTTTCGCAACAAATATTATAAAGAAGAGTTTGTTCTTTGTTTTTATTTGGTTTTCAATAAGTTTTTATGGCTTCAACAAGTAGAACCGGGCCTGACGTTTTAGATGATGATGAAATAGAGGACGCTTTGTTTGACGATATTGATAGCGAAGAAGACGCGGACGATCCTCTTTTTCATTACTCTGAAAATGAGTCTGAAAGTGATGAAAACGATGTTTTAGGGGAAGAAATATCGGCAAGTGATGAAGAAAGTGAAGTTGAACCAGAAATACCGATTGATGGTGCGGGTGATGCGGTGAATAGGCCTAGGCGTGGACGACAAGTTAGGCCTAACCTGCTGCCAGAAGTTGACGCTGAGTGGGAGTCTTGCGATGAAGATACTCCTGATTTTGATATTTTACCTTTTGATAACAGTGAATTTGGTTTCGTCAACACAAGAGATCCTGGTCAAGAACCACCTACCAAACCTATAGACTTTTTTCACCTTATTTTCACAACTCAATTGTTTAGTGAAATAGTACAGGAAACAAACAGGTATGTGAAACAAAAGATTGCCAAAATAACACCTCTGCGACAGCACTTTATTTGGTGGGGTTGGACAGATGTGACTGTCAGAGAAATGATTGCGTTTCACGGTGTGCTATTGAACATGGGACGTCAAGCCAGACAAACTTTGAAAAGTGTTTTTTCCGATGGTTGGGTTGATTCATCAAACTTTTTCAAAGATGTTTTTTCCAGGAAAAGGTTTTTGCAACTTTTTTGGGCTCTTCATGTGTCTCCACCAGATGGATCCCGTGCCAGAAGTATGCAGTCTAGAGCTAGCAAAATAAAAAATGTGATGGATTATGTTGGTAGCAAATTTATTGAACTTTATAGGCCTAGCCAGTTCATTTCTGTTGATGAGTCAACTGTCAGTTTCAAAGGGAGGGTAACGTTCAAAATGTACAACCCTAAAAAGCCCACTAAGTGGGGACTCCGCCTTTATGTCCTGGCAGACGCAACCACTGGGTATGTAAGCGTAGTGACCCCATACTACGGCTCGTACACCACAAACAGTCTGTTACGCCCTGACTTACCTTTCACTGTAAGAATAATTCTACATTTAGCTGAACAGCTCCAAACTGCTACACAGAATATAGGTTACTTTTTTTACACTGACAGATTTTACACAAGCATAGATTTAGCTAAAGAGTTACTCCAAAAAAATATCTATCTCACTGGTACAGTTATGACCAACAGAAGGGGCCTACCTAAAAAATTTAAAAAAGGTACCTAAAGCAGTTACAAAAACACAAAGTTGTAGCCTACAAGAATAAAGAAAAAAATATCTTAGCACTATCCTGGAAAGACAAAAGAGTAGTTAGCATGGTAAGTACATGCAACAATGCCAAAACTCACTTAGTTACTAGAACCAAGAAAACCAATGTACAAGAACAGATCAGTAAGCCACAAATGATATCGGACTATACTGCTAAAATGGGTGGAGTCGATCGCAGTGACCACTACTGTACTAGCTATGGTTTCGCTAAGAAGAGTCTGAAATGGTGGCGCAAACTTTACTTTTGGATGTTGGAGGTTTCTGTTGTAAATAGTTTTATTTTGTACAACTTGGACAGGAAAAATCATGACTTGCCTGCAGTTCGTCACCTCGATTACAGAAAGCAGCTTATAGAGCAACTCGTAGGCGATGTCCGCAACATGCGTCGTAAGAGGGGTAGACCTTCATCTTTGGACAACGATGCTGCCATTCGCATGAATGGCTTATACCATTCAATCAAGGCACATGAAGGAAAGAAAACCAAAGACTGCGCTGTATGCTCAGACAGATAAAAACCCGGAGGGAGAAAGGAAACATCCTTTTATTGTGACACTTGTCCGCGTAAACCGGGTCTTCACCCCAATGGATGTTTTGACAAGTACCATACTAAGAAAAATTATAGAGACTAGACTTGAAAGCCAACCCTTGTAAATATGTAAATAGTAACTAGCCTAAATGTGGAACTTATTTTTTTTCGGCAATTTATTTCAATTTTTGTTTGAACATTTTTTTTTCGATGTGAGCCTATGTAGTTTTATTCTTGCTTTTTAGTCTGGATTTCTTTTACATAGGCTAAAGCAATGTGAAACCAGTACAATAGTTCATTTTTTATTACCCAGTGATTCAGTGGGTGTTGTGAGTGAAAGTGAAAGTGGGAAACTCCAAGACAAATGATAGGCCTACTTTTGCTTTCCGTAAGTTACAAATTTTATTTTTATTATTTGCATTTTTATAGGTAATAATTCTCAATATTATGTTTCTAAAATTCTTTTTTACATTGCTAGAATGCTCTTAGCTATAAGGAATAATAAAAAGCAGAGGAAATATAAAAAAACTGACACTTCCTAGGCTAACCAACAAATTTTTTGGGTTATTTTGTTTTATTTTTGTACATATAAATAAATGTTTTACAAAAAATCAGACATCTCATACATCATAAATTGTCACTGAAATACTAGTAATTACATATCAGTAAAAAAAAAACATTTAGCATAAGCATAACCAGAAAAATTTTCTGTCATAAGAGAGATGTTTACAAATACAGGTGATGAATCATACTAATAAATAGGACCTGGTGCAACAGTATACCGCCATTTAAATAGACCCCAAAAGGTTAATTCAGTGATGCTGACCAACTTTCTTATAATGCTTTACATATTAATATAAATTTGAGACGTTGATGATTTCGCCCCGATCGGAGGAGACGAAGATGAAAGATGTTAACTAGTTCTCTACGGCCGTAGGAGACGTTCATGGGGTTCGCCGTGATCCTAAAAGACAAAGATGATGTCTCTGCCGTCGCGAAAGATGTTCACTATTTCTCCGCGGCCACATGAGACATTAATAATTTTGCCGCGATCAGAGTAACCGAAGATGATGTCCCCGCGCCTGCACAAGTAACCTAAACCGCACAAGATGTAAACTTTTTCTCCGGTGCCATAGGAGTTCATTATTTCGCCGTGATCGCAGAAGACGAAAATGATGTCTCCCTGATCGTGCATGATGTTAACTATTTTGCTGTGAACGTAGAAGATATTCAGGATCTCTCCCCGATTGCGGCAGATGTCCCCATGATTTTGCTCAGACCAGTGGCGTTTCTTGGTAAAATTCCAGGGGGGGGGGGGGGGAGAAGCCTCAATTTTCCCAACTGCTTAACATACATTTCCCAACTCATTTTTATTTTAAGAAATCAATTTCTGTACACATTTTAAACATTTACAAATATTATACTACATTGCAGTCATACTCAATTCAGTATTTATTAACTTGTATTAACAAAACATAGCCAGTTTTACATATATACAAAATTAATCAATTCCAAAAACTTCTAAAAGTTCTACCAATTCAAAATGAAGTTTTATGACTCCAAAAAAACTTGAATAAGTATTGTTTAAAATCCAATAAACTGTACAAACCATTGTGGTAGCAGACGTAGCCGTTTAAAATTTTAGGGATATAAATAGGCCTAGTACAAATTAGTATGAAAACAATTATTTTATTACAAAATAATTAAATTAAAACACTTTTGGAAATTGATATTAAGATCAACATTTTAACTTTCATAAAACTTACAACTAGGCCTAAACAAGTTTGTAATGATGATATATTAATATCAGTGTTATGAATAATATTATTATAGTCTAGACAAGAATAAAACTAAAATAAGACTCATATAAAATAAAAATGTTTAACTTGGTTGATAATAAACTTAGGCCTACAAAAAAAAATGTTTACCTAACCCGCCATGTTAAACTTCCCTATCCCAAGCGTGATGTATACAACTTCCTTACTTCTCGAGTGATGTAAAGTTGAAAAAAACTCACTCGGTGATGTAATGAAACCCATTTAAATAACATTGAGTGGATAACTTAAAAAATATACCTCTATGGAGCCAACGACGTTCAACGCTAAAAATCAGCTGTGTGTTTGAATGTTATTGTTATGCTTTGAAGAATTTTCCTAACCTAGCTTTTGTTTGTAAATGAACGTTACTGTTAGAAGATGAGTGAAATTGATAATGAAGCATATTGCTCGTAACCTCCTGAATATTGTCGGGTCAGGTAAAATCTTGTACGTTACACGTTACGCAAGAGCGTGTTTACATCACTTCGGTGAATTATGCAACTCGCCTCCGCTCGTTGCACAACATTCACCTGCGTGATGTAAAAACGCTCTTACTACACTTGTAATGTAAATAGCTATAACCTTCATATAACTAGCACAATATTAGTGTTTTTAATAACATAACAGTCAATAGATTAAATAACAAATAAAATATGTCTAGTATAAAATACATAATTGTAACTTGATTAATAAACTTGGACATACAGTGACAATTTTAACTTCACAAAATTTACACCAAACACGTTTATAAAAAACCTGGGTCTATAGATAAAAATAAAATAGGCCTCTTAAAAATAAAAACTTGTAACTTGATTTATAATAAACTTATATACAGACAATATTTGATCTTCAATCTTTCATTTTCTCGTCTACTGTTTAATTTTAACTATAGGGTCGTCAAGTGGTCAAAACTTGACCAAAAATATGTAATGTACAGACTTCTCTATTTTCATCCGACTATGTGAATAAAACATATGATTGGATTTTTTTATCTATCTATCTAACTATATATTAATTACGTAAGCCGATTCTTTGCGCCAAAATTGTGGACGACTGGGAAGTCTTAGAACGACAGGAGAGGGCTCAAATTAAAGGTCTCAATCCCGTGACGGCGGGAAAAATAGTGCAATTCCTTAAATTTCAACACCAAATTAGATATAATGTAAAATGTTCTCCATAAGAATAGCATTAGAAGCCATTTACTGCTGATTTTTGTTTACTTCAATACAGCTGATCATGATTTATCATTAAGCCAGTACACAATATTAACATTTGGATTACGTATTTGCCAGTTCATTCTGCAATCTACTGTAAACTATATAAAACCAGGGATAACGTTACCTGTAATAATTAAGAGTTTTTAGTTACGTCTTAGAATGTTGAAATAAATTGTTTTACTGTGGAACCTTTCAAATTTGTATATTTTAAAGCATATGATAGGTAGTAGAATCATAGAGCTGGCTCAAATCAAAAGAGTTGAACTTAGAATGTCTGAATAAACTATGAAGTTTTTCTTCTAATATAAAGGTTATTGTTGGGTTGAAGGAATGTTTGATATGAAATAACCACATTGACTAAATAATTAACGATCCAAGATTAAATGGAGAACTTCTGCTTTGTTTCAAAACATATGTTCAAGACTTATTCCAATGAAGGCAATGAATACAAATTTTTGTATTCATTGTTCAATATACTCATTCTTTGTAAATTTAATAACATTTTTCATTTGACATTTATTGTAGTGATTAATCAATATTTTTATTGATTTTTTGATTGATTTTTTTTATTGATTTTTATCACTACATCTATGGAAGTGGAATAACCTCAATGGCTATACTCTTAAAAAATAGCCTGGGAATAAAGATGAAATAGGTTCGTACAAGCAATATATTTGTTAATTAATAAGTAAATACTAATACTATGACAGGTTCCATTGGGCGGAAAAACAATTGTTTGGAGGAGATTTTAAACAGGTACTGTCTGTTTCTCAAAGAAAAAAAGGTTCAAATAATATACCTTAGCATGTATGGTATGTACAGTAAAGCGAGCATTTGTATATAACATTAAAACCTAAAGATAGTTTCCATTTCTTTACGTTTCTTAAACTAACCAAAAATATGCATGTCAATGCTAATGAAAAGTAATTTCGTTATTCGTTTTGACAACTGTGTAATGGAACCCTAACCAGTCGCCAAAGATTTGTGAATCAGCCGATGATAAGGCCTATTTTGATAGAATATTTAAAGTCAATCGCATGTTTCGGAGGAATACCACCACATAAACTTTCACTAATTGTAGTTGTTTATGTTGATCAGAAACAAATCTAGGGTTAAGTTTGATCAATGGGATGCCTTTACTTTACATTATTTTGTTAAACCTTTACAAAAGGAGTATAACTGGGTTGGGATGCATTAGCGGTTTTGACCAAGAACTAAGCTTATCTCAACCTGTAGTAATAATAGAGATCGATGATCTCAACACGCCTTTATTTGCCTTTTCATATTTGACGAAGACAATTTTTAAAATTCCAATCAGGGAAGCCTTTTTTACCATCATTAACCACAAGACCAAACACCAAAGCTACCTTAGCAAACCTGTATTTATTCACACACAATTATATGTTTGTTGCCTCAGAGTCTCTGGAGTCATTCATATTATTTATTGAAAATAACGTCAACAAAATCAAACAAAGACAAATAAGAAACTGTTTACACAAAAGATATGTTGTACTGGTATATCTATACTGACACATATACATTTTAATTCTGAGTTTGTTTCAATATTACAATAATTAGTTTTACATTTGAGCTTTTTAGGGACTTGTCCCTACAAGCCACTAGTTGTTTTTTATATTTCGTTGTTATTTCGCCACCAGCATAGCAATCCATAAGGCCCATTAAATTTTTTTTTTAATTTCAAATGAATTTTTCGTGCTTAATTTTGAGCCTATTTTAATTATAAAGGGATTCTGTACATCTACAGGAAAATATCTTTCTAACATTATGCGTAGATTTTCCCTGCGATGTACACGAGCTGAGGAAAAAGGTTTTAAAGAAACATGCTTGCCTATTAAATTTATAGATATGACGTTTCATCAGTTGAAACAAAAGCGAAATTAGATGTCAAACTCAAACATAAAATTTTAGGCTATGTTTTCCACGTAGATCTGTTTCAGAGTGATTAGTTGATTCATTTGTGTAAATCCTTAATTAGGAATGATAAATAACTTTTGTAGATTTTTTAAATATATTCAGAGAATTAACATTTCATTTACGTTATTAAAAAATAAAAGTTTTAATGGTAATTTCATTGTGGTGTACCATTTAATTTAAATTCATTTAATGGTAATACCAATACACAAAACCTATCTTTAATATTATTTTAATCTACTTATTAGCAAGTACTCCTGTCAGTTAGCCTGCTCCAAATACTACAAATAAAGGTATAAAATATAGTTAATGTGACTAACATGTAAAATATTTTTGAATTTCTTGTAAACACTAACAATCAACATAATTTAACTGAAGAGCTACATCGCTTGCACTTTCAAAGTCTCGCAGGGAAATCATCAGAATTATGAACACAGGACAGGATCAGAGTAGCCAACATATGTCCAATAAGGAACAAAATTTCTCGCAAACGAAATTCCAACAAACTATACCGCTAATCGCTAATTGATTATTGATTTATTAAAACAAGGTGTGTTTTGCCTAAGATGTTTAATCAAAGTTAAATAAAAGTTGAATAAACATCAAGATCATTGATGGGATTATCGCAAATATTCAAATTTTATTTCGTTTGTAAATATTATTTTCTTGAATCTCTGACTTCCCAACTCGTGGCAAGGAAATTCCCAACTTTTCTCTTTCCCTGGTTCTGGGGGGGAGGCTCCCCCCTACACCTCCCCCAAGGCGACACCCCTGACTCTGACCACAGACGACGTTTACAATTTTGCTGCGATTACAGATTTTGTATGAACCAATTACAGTATATCAATTAATGTAATTAAATGATTTAATCCTAAAAACCACCCGATTTTCATCCGATGCCCGAAGGTTAACATTTTTTAATCAACCCGGAAGAAATGAAAAATGTCTGGTCCGACCTAAGGCCCCTAATATTATTATATAAAAAAAAATAATATACTTATTTTTAGCTTAGTCTCCTAGGTCTTTTTGCCGATCGGATTGTTGGAAACAAACGGTAAATTCATCGAGTTAAAGCAATACCACATGTATTTCTAAACCCTTAAGTTCCAACCTTCGAAGAATCAGGATATAAAGGAGCCTGATGAGAGCTGCCGGGGGCCTCATCCATTCTAAATACGGCCCTGTCCATAATGTAGTATTTTTGTCCTTTCACAATAAAGAAAATTACAGACACTAAAATATAAACCACAGTTATTAACTTTGTTAAAAATGCAAATAACAACATATTAAAGTTTTTTATGTGGCATAGTGAGATTTATTTTCATTTATGTACTAAGCAAATAATTCAGTGTCCTAACTAGTTTATCTTAGGCTCATGTTAGTATTAGAATATATAGTGAAATACCAACCTTAAAGAGAAATAAATCAACACCTGTTTAAACTTGTAAACACACTTAATGATGACGTTTGTGTTTTCTTTGCTAGAGCATCACTTCTTTGTGAAATGGAGCAGAGAATGAATGCTGCTCGTGTTATCAAGAGTGGAAATAATGGTCCGAAGGTGGTAGAGCTTACATCAGATGTGTTGAAGGAGACAGCTCTCTCGCATCAGTCAGAGACCAAAGTTTAAACAGTTTTGTGAACAATGCATCACACTGAAGGTGGTGGACCATACAAACAGATTTGTTGAAGGAAGTATTTACACCAAAGTTTAAACCGGTTCGTAGTGGATCCAGTAAACAAAACCTAGAGTACCGGTAGCAAAATGTAGAGCATGGAAGATAGTAACATTTTAATTCCAGATGTATGACAGTACAGTAGAACGTCAATAATCCAGACTAATTGGGACCGAACCCCATCCGGATTATCAAAATATCCGAATGATTGAAATTACTTTGGTGGTGAGCTCTTGTTTTGTTTCTCCAGCCATGTCATCAATGTCTCTGCTGCCACACACAGATCACCGCTCTGGGTCATTGAACTGGCTGGTAGCGATTTGACTGTGAGACCATGACTACACACAATATCCCTCTTTGATGACCACTCCCCTTCCCCTCACTATGCACCATTCTCCAATCGCCCACTCGACTCAAAAGTAAAAAACTTAGTGCAAGGGCAGACAGTACAAAATGTTATTTCTTATTAGAAACAAATCCAGATTGTTGACAGTCTTGTCTTTTTACGTCCGAATTACTGACGTTCAACTGTGTCTGGTTTATGTATAAAAAAATCAGTCCAAGCTAGTAGCCTACATTTTGGAATTGTATTTCGTTCATTTTCAATATCTTTTATTTGTAACATAATACAATCAATACATGGATCATGCATTGATGACTTGATAGAACTAGATAAATCGACTATCTATAGATAAATCGATTGATTTATTAGATCAATTAGGGCTTTGCTGTAAATCTGTACAGCTATTTGACAGTAGTTTCTAAAAATGTTATACTGTATATGGTTTTGCATAACTACTGATTTTTAAAATTTACAATATATTATCCAAGTGATTTTTTTGAATTAGGCGATTCACTGTAAAAAAGGAGCACCCAAATGGTCCTGGACTATTGCTGACCTTCTTCATTTTAAAATAATTAATTTAATAATTCTTCATTTTGAAATAATTAGTTGGAAACTAAACTAAATTAAAAATAGTATTGTAAAAATGATGCACAGAATAAACCCTATTCTTTGTACAGGGTTTTAGACTTCAACAACCATTGTACGATAGGGTAAACATAAATAGCCATTACATTGAACTATCTTATAAAAAATCTCCTCATAAACTAAAACTGTGTAATTAAGAGAGTTGGAATCACCTTTTAAAATTTACATTTAAAGAATAAAGATTATTTCATTACAGATCTTATCCAGGCAGTTTGGAAACTCCTGTTAGTCCAGTTTAATGAGGGTTTATTAATTATTATCATCAATCAAATTAAATTATTTGGCTACCCTTAATTATTTATTTTGTGTGTTATCCTCACAAGTTTAGTTGTGATGAACAGTATTAAGTAAAATACTTTAACTTTAACTGCATGCATACCTTTAAAAATGTACGTTAATGGTTTTAAGGAATCCTGATTCCTACTTGCTCGTTAAAGCCATACCCAATATTATAACAGCAGCAAACACAGTTGGTACGGAATCTACCAAAACTTCCATCACCATTGTGAGAAACAACATTGTTGATTAAACAAATCAGTCCAGTTGTGCCTTAACCTGGTAAAGAGTGTCATCATTGAGTACATACGTTTAAGAGGGGACAGATAATGTTAATAGTTGTTACCGATTTTTGGCGACGTAGTTCGGGCCGCTGACGCTTGGGTCGCTGTAGTCGGTCGGTAGTGCAGTACGTCTCTGAGGACCTTTTAATCATTTAGTATTGAAAATGCATCATCAAACAACAAAACTACGACCATTGAGTGTCTACTCTAGTACGTGTATAGGCCTACTCAACGGTATCATTGATCAAATTCAAATTTATTCCCTGGTTTCTTTATTACAGTTTTTTTTTATTCTTTCTTTGAGTGATATGGATGATCGGCAATTCGGATAATTGGAGTTCTACTGTATAATATTTGTACGCTGAAGATTATGAATCACCCTCTAAGTTTGAGAAGTAGTGCTGTGATCTATCCAAGACAGAGTGATAGCTAATTTGTCTTTATTACTGCGACCTTACATTATGTTGTTCACATTTGGTCCCATATTGTAGGCTCTAGGCTGACTATTAAGTGTCAAGTGTAGTCAATGCTTTTAACACACACATTACAATAATTTACCTCTCAAATTTTCATTAGGTTGTTGTGTTTAAATTGCCTTATCAAAATGCTAAAGAGCCTAAAATGAACACCAGTTAGTGATAAACCATGTAGTTGACATAGCTTTGTTATGGTTAGCATTATATTTATAATCTATAAAATTGTTATTTAATTTAAGGCAGAGCTCAGTGGAAGATAAGGGAAGAATGTCTTTGTAAATTACAAAAGTAATTTCATTATTAGCCTCAAGTGTCATACTGTATGTATTTTAATCAATTTCTGACTTTGTTAAATACTTAAAAAAAACTTATATATCCCTTGTACCCATTTAAATTCTAACACTTCATCTCCGATTGCTAGGCAAAGTTATACCACCAAAACAGCTAGCGTGGTTAAAATAAAATAACCGTAATTTTAATAAAATGATTGTAAGTAATAACTGTAATGGTTTTCCTGGATTGGTATTAAAATATAGTTGACATTACATAGTAAGCTCGCTAGTTTATGCAAGGGAAACTGTATACTCTCTTCTTTTTTAGTGCTTTTTGCCCTCTACACTGTTACAATCGTTGAGTTTTCTTATTTTAGAGGAGTTACACATTGATATAAGTTTATCTATTAATTACCTAGCACTGCTTTTGGAATTTTTTTAAAACTATTAAGAAGTAGGTTTTAAGGCTATAGGTTGTGGCTTATTTTTTATGGTGTATAAAAATACTGTGCCTTTCACTAAACTATTTATGAACATTTTTTCTTCTACACCTTGTGAATGAGTTAAACCATCTTTGTCTAATATTTAATTGAACTTGCACATCTGTCCTAGGCGATCAAAATAGTATATTTCATCACTAGGGCGTAAAGTGACTCTTTTCGACTCGAGCTCAAGTTTTATGATCGAGGCAAAGCCCAGGTCGGAAAATGAGCTGGGAAAATGAGGGTTGGAAAGACACTTTTTGCCCATGTGATGAACTTTATTTTTTGTCATATTGCATCATTAACAAACTAAGCTAGAAAACGAAAATACTTATCATGTAAAGATGACGTCTCAAAACAACTTCCAGCTAGTTTTCAATTTTTCTAATCAAAATATGCAGCTGTTAAGTGATTAAATCATTTAGTCTATTACGATTGTCTTACTATACATTGATTATACCATCGATATGTCAAACTATTGACAAGAAACAATAACTGTTTACAACAGCTGATTGCTCCCCAGGGTCTAAAATGATTTTTACTTCCTAGGTTAAAATGCTACTTTAGACCCACAATACGGCAATACAGTTGTTTTTGCTACAGTATGACGAAAAATATTACTTTAACATTGAAAAACTTAGTACCCAAGAAAAAAATATTTATTAAAATAAAATAGTAATAATAGTAAATATAGTACTACACTAACAACAAATCTAAATAATTTTGACCATAAAAACCATAAAGATAAATATTTTCAAATACATATTTTTTACTTGGGTACTTAGTTTTTCACTGTCTGATATTCCTTCATATATAGTAGCCCTATTATTCTATTTTTCATACTTTAACATTATATTATTATATTTTCTGATCTGATACAGTAGTATAACTCAAGTCACTCTTTTGATAACCTGTATGTATTTCCCTTTCCACGCTTTCATGTAGAACTCTAATTATATTGTAATATTTCCAACTAAATGCGCTTATTATTTGATAGTCTTGTAATAAGTGACCTTAATAAATATCCTACATTATGGTAGTTATTTTTTAGATTGTAAATTTCAAATACTGTATGTATAGTTTTATTGTATAGTAAGTGTAATGATGTGATATCAGAAATTTTTTGAAAGACATAAAAATTTTCTTTAAAATGGAAACTTATATAAATTTCAAAATATTATTGTAAAAATCATTGACAGAATATACCCAATTCTTTGGACGGGGCTATTCAGACCTACAATCGTTATGCTACAGGGTAAAAATAGCAATTACATTGAACTATCTTATAAAAGCGTCCTCATAAATTAAAACTGAAGAGGCATGGAATTTTGCTTTGTGAAAATGGCATTATCTCTATTCAAAGTATTTGGATAAGACTTTTTTACTTTGAATAATAATTCACTAAAAATTCATTTAGGATAAAAGTAAAATCATTCTCTCTTATACAGGGTGTCCCGTAACTCTCTGGACACGTGTATATAGCATTATTGCTTAGGTCAAGACAAACACATTTCACCATAGGAACATCTGAGGTGCCTAGTTTCTGTCTGTCTGTATCAACCATTTTAAAATGGCGGTCATTTAAAATACTTGATGGAAAATTCAAGAAAACTGTTAGCTTTACAAAAAAAATTGCAAGAGACAAAAAAAATAGTAAATTTTATGTAGTTTTCAGTGATACCTTATTTGTTAAGAATGGATAAATAATAACAGAGAAATGTGTTCTTTTCGTAATGCATGAACACTTTTCTCCATTTTAACAATGCTAATACTCCTTTACATTGTCTACTAGAACTAGACAAACATACATACATACATGTATGTATCTTTAAATGACACACAAAAAATAATTGTACTTAAATAAAATACACATGACGAAATAAATCACATAACACTAAATCACTAAAACAGTATAACAGTAGTTTCTAAAAATGTTATACTGTGTATGGTTTTGCATAACTACTGATTTTTAAAATTTACAATTTTTTTGAATTAGGCGATTCACTGTAAAAAAGGAGCACCCAAATGGTATATAAACACCGATTTTAAATTATTATATACCACCTATTAAGTAATTTAACACACGCAGTGTGTACCCTTATTTATTCATAGTCAATTACATGACAGCAAAATGTAACATTAATACCTCTCCCTATTGACATGCCAATTAATTCCAATTCCAATTAATTGGGCCCGAACCCCATCCGGATTATCAAAATATCCGAATGATTGAAATTACTTTGGTGGTGAGCTCTTGTTTTGTTTCTCCAGCCATGTCATATGCAAAGGTGAAGACATTTTTTTGAAAATGTCTAAAGAAGTGGATTAGTTAATCAACTAATTGGTGGAGTTCAAACATTAATTGAGTGATGAGCACATTAAATAGTTATATATAAAACATATTCACTGGGTCATATGTTTATAGACTACAAATGCTATATTAATAAATTTAGTTTAATTAGTGTAATTAAAGGTCTTGTAATTTATTATCTCTGTAGGCTAGTGGGTTATTTTAAGTCAATTGAAATGTTTTTTAAGACAGTGTTGGCTCTTCTGTTACTGAGAAGTTTGTAGTAGTTAAATGAGATTGTTTTAACTAGCAATCTATCTAGATACAGTGGAAATGTTTTTTTTTAAGAGGTTGGCGGCCTCTTTTAACACCTATAATGATCAGCCAGTTGTGGCATATCACTAGACTGGTATATAATGTGTGGTCTTTACAATCACCACGTCAATCAGGAGTATTAACCCTCCGAGTGTCATGCGTCGCTGCAGCGACTCACGAACACTGTTTACGGCAAAGGCTCTATGACTGCCTGAATCGGATTGAACTGGATCGAGTTAGGTATCGTTCTTTTCCTTAAAATTTAAGCTTTCTCCAGAGGTCTGTCTCAGCGCTGTATGTTCTCTGGCTGACGTGCGTATTTGTAAGCAGCTTGGTTATCCTCGGACCGATGACTGATGTGTTTTATTACGTTTATCATTGTTTTAGTGTTAAAAATCAAAAGTAGTGATATACGTGGTGCATTATAAGAAGATTTAAGTGATTTTGAAGGGCTGGTTGATGATCCTGAAGAAGTAGGTAGTGATATTGATGTAAATTATCAGCCAGATTCCTAGCTATGGTTAGGCTATGCATTCTTAGCTAAACACAATGTACTGAAATCTGTTTTTCACTCATAACTTATTTATTTGATAACTTACCTCACTATATGATTATATATTTGTAATCCTCATAAAATTTAGAACAAAGTGGCTATTTTCAAATATTTATAGGCCTATAATTTATACAATTTCATTGAGCGCGAACTTATTTTTTTTTTGACAATTTTCCAAAATATTTTATTTTTTTTACAAATGTTCCTTATGTTTTATATATAATATTGAAGCCCATGATTTTCCAAACAAAATGGTATATAGAACAGTATAATTAACATTGTTTTTAAGCTTCTCAGATCCGTTTTAATAAAACCTTGCAAATGAGCTAAAAATAGGCAGACATTAAGGCCAAAACAAGGGACACTCGGAGGGTTAAAACAACAGCTGATTGAATCATGCAACCTGGGGCCCATTTCATAATAAACTACAAGCTAATTACAACTTGTAACTTGTAATTTCCATTAGATTTGCATTGGGCGATCAGCTGATTTACTAATAATATTAGTTTGTATTTTATTATGAAATGGGCCCCTGATTGACGGTCGTCATTTTGACCAGTTGTTGTAAGTAAAGATAAACATTTTTGCAAAATCTCAAACCGTTTAGGAGTTATTAATTCTTTTGTAAAAAACACATAAATACAGACAGACGGAAAACTAGGCATCTCAAACCCATGTTCCTATGGTGAAATGTGTTTGTCTTGACCTAAGGAATAACCCTATATAATGTGTCCAGAGAGTTACGGGACACACTATACTTTTATGCTGTATGATTTTAATTTTAAGATTCTAAAACTATATAGTTGTGTATTTTTTTAAGTAGCAAACCCGAAAAATACTAAATATAAAACTTGAAAGGATATGGTGGATTAAATAAAGAAAACTTTGCCTTTGAGAAACCCCCAACAGAATTAATTCTGTAATTGAGATTAAATTGTTACCGTACTGGTTGTTTATTTCCCTATAAACTTGTTTTTTACTTAATAAATGACTATTTTACACCATAGGTCTGCATGGCTCTGTCTAGAATAGTTAGTTATTGACACAACCATTGAAAATATTTGTGTTTTTTTTACATAAATACATTTAAAGCTGTGTTTTAATTGTATTTGGCAGCAATAGTTAGTGTGTTTACCCGATGAATACAAACCCTTTAAGAAGAAACACTTATGGAGAATAGTCAGACTGGCAGCCGAAATGAGCTTGCCCGGCGGCTGCGCTACTCTCTCTATGCCGATTCTTTGTCTCGCTTTCACTCACTCAGTCAGCTGACTTGGCCGCACGCTCGTGATATCCTACCTAGCGGCTGCCGCACAAAACACCCAAAATTCAAATTTTCCCATAAAACGCATTGCGCTTCTTATAGGTTTTGTATTCATTGGTTTACCCCACCGTGTTTCTCTTTCAGTTAAATACATTGTTACAGTTAATAATACATTGTTACAGATAATAATACATTGTGTTTATTGACTCCCAAACAGGTGAGATGTACAGAATATTAGACAAATTAGTTTAATATGTATATAATATGCTTGTGATGTGTATTATTTGAAATAAAATATTTTATTTTTGACAAAAGTATAATAAACAACATTCTAATAGAAAATTCTTTGAATCAAATCGTTGCATCGAATCGAATAAAAAATTATTTGATCAAATCGTTGCATCAAATAGAAAGGTTTTGGCTGCTTCGCACACCCCTAAATATCAGTACGGTATCACGTATATAAATAAAATACCATAACAATTCAACAATTATTTTATGTACAATCAACAGAGCACTACAGTGTCTAGCTCTCTGGAAATCCCATCTTCTTCTCAGCTTCATAATCAGGAGCCTTGTAATCAACTTTGTCTGTGATTTTAAAGCCTTCTACTCTGATTATTGTAGGATTTGGCGCATTCATGAGTTCTGCGTAGTAAGCACCTGAAAATAGTAAATGTATAGAACTACTGATAGTGTATTGATTGATAAGTCAATTATAATAACTATTTCTTTTTATTACATAGGTTATTTACTGTACATGAATGCAAACATGTTTAAAGCAAGGTCTGTCCTGAAATTAACATACATTTCGACTTGGCGATGACAGCAAATCTGGCGTCGACGATCAGTAGCGAACCTGTTAACTGAACTGTGATTCAATATCCCTTTGGTTGTATACTCTAAGATGTTATTAAACCTATTCTAGATTTCTTGTAGGCCTACTTAACATTCTGATGTGACTCATGAGCTAATGCATGAATTAAAAAGAGTAGTAGGCTACAAATGCTATATTAATAAATTTACAAAGCTCTCAACATTTTATTGACTTTCACACTGTGTGCTGAGACATAAAATAGTCAAAACCCTGTGTTTTGTGGAAAAGGCTACAAAAGAGTACTTACAGATGTGGTTAGGTTTAGTATATACCCTACCCAAATAAACAATTTAATCACTATCTCTAGGTTTAGTATATACCCTACCCAAATAAACAATTTGATCACTATCTCTGTAAACATAGACATTCACCAGCCAAATGTTTTGGAAATTTAAATAAAGTTACAAGTTATTTTAAATTTATTTACCTGGGCGTTTAGTTATGTCATCTTCAAGGTCTGTACCAAAAAACTCTGACAAGACTCTTTTTTTAGAATACATATTGTACCCAACAATTCCCAATGCATTCCATGCAAAAAAAGCATAGACAAATGATAGCCTCATCTGCCATATTGAAGCATCATATTCATTCATCGGTTTCATTCGTTTTCTGATGGCTCGACGAATCCATCTTGGCGTCCACATCTAAAGAAGAAAAACACATCAGTAGGATACTCCAAATGTCTGCCAGGAAATATCGTAACTTGTACTTACAAGGTCTAAAACATGCATAAAACTCATAGCTGAAAAAATGACAATGTCACTTATTCCTACATTGGATAGGCCTACAATGTACAGGTTCATTGTGACTAATCCCCTGATCAACAGTACCTACTGTAAAAACAAGTGTTGTTGGGTTATAGCTAGAGAGTGGGGCAGGGAGGCGACTAGTGGGGAATCAGCATTGCTTTAAATGTCTTGCAAGGCTATCAGCCCAGTTGTGTTAAAGCTGAAAAACCCCGAAGTGAATAGCTGGAAAGTCGTTAAACCAAAAGCAAAAAACAAAAACAAAACCCGCTCCCCAAACATTAACAGAACTTGCCCTATCAAATAACTTCTCCATTCTATCCGATCTCAATTCTAAAACCAATCCTCTGTTAATACCTTCCATAAACCAAAAAAACCTTGCACACCCCCCAAAAACCCATATCAAAATCAACCCAAAAAAGGGCGAACCAGTCCAAAAAACGAAGAATGATAAACATCTTTTGGGCGATTCCACCGTTAGGTGTGTGACATTCGCAGACAAAAATCCAACTTTATTGTTTAAATTCCACCACTAAATGCAATAATTGACACACAAAGTTGTATGACAAGTTACATTAGTCCTTTGTGTGTATGGTGATGTGCTTGAAATACAGTTACCTCTACTAATAATTTTACTAAAAATATTTAAACTTTTGTTACGTATGTGACTCAAAGATTAGTTAACACATTCACTGCTAATGATATGTAATACTTTTATAAATGGCTAAAAAACATAAACATTAACATGATCATGTTAATTGAGTGACAATATATCTTTAATTAAATAAATTTTATACTATAAATTGTGGATTAAAATATATTATGTAATTATATACATCATGTATTATATATCTGCTAATATACTTATGAAGCACAAGTGCGTCATTAGCAGTGAACGTGTTAAACAGTGTAGCTCATAAGGTTTATAAAATATTTCTGTGATTTATAAGCTTTAAAATGTCTATGCTATTTTTATTTTGATAAAGCATGACAAATACTTAATTTCTGTGAAAATTTAAGAAATTTATCTTTAAAACCCTAATAATTGTGAATTTTTATAAACACGTTACGTGTGTGACAGAAGATCGTTACGTGTGTGACAAATGAATCGAGAAGAGCTACAGAGGAAATATTACAATACTATTACATTTTAATAACATTTTTATTGTTCTAACACAAATTAACAACAATTGAAAACATGTTAGCTTATTATAATTAAATAATTACAGTGGTTAAAAATAAAATTGTTGTCAAAGTTTTATGGCCGAACGTTTTATTTTTTTAAACTTTGAAATATATAAAATGTCATCTAAAACAAGTTTGACACTGAACAGTTTTTTCCTATTAAATGAAACACGATTAAACATCTTGAATATGTAAACCTTCAAACTTGAAATGCCCTCTTGAGTTTACAACCTCTGGACGAGAGAGTTTCTTCATTACTTTGTCCATAGTGTAATACACCTCATCTCTTAGATTTGGCCACTTCCAGTACTTTCCAGATTTTACCATCACATTAACTTTCACTTCTGAAGATGATGTTTTTTCTAATACTTCACCTGGATAAAATTGTTCGTCGTACTTTACCAGACACCAGTCGCCAATTTCTAGGTCTTCAACGCTTAATCCAGGAGATTCGCCTTCAGTCTGAATTCTAATCAAGGGAGATGCACTCAAATTGTCCTTATAGAGAAGAACATTTCCATCTAGGTTGCATTTTATCACATGAGTTTTTTGGATTCCTACTCCTATGTCAACAACTGAATCCCAAGGGTTTTCCTGTCGTAAGGTTTCATTTATCTCATCTTGACTAATATGGAGAACTTCAGTAGATTTCATTACACTGGATGCAGGCTCATAAAACTCATACGATGATTGAACAACATACTTATCATTTTGTGCTTGGGATAGTTGTCGAACTAAAGATTTTGCTCGGCCACCAATGCCATCTACCACACCTTTGCCGTGGCTTGTCGCAAAATATTTCCAAGTAATATTTACATTAAACTTTTTCCTCAGGAGCATCATCAGGCAAACAATGTATTTGTTCTTAAATTCAGATGATGGCCCATCACTGTAAATTACAACATCTTGTTTTTCAGTTTGGAGCATAATTCCAATTAGTTTGTTTAGAAAAACAAATACAGTGTCTTTGTTTTTTTCTTTAGTGTCAGAACATATCAAGTAAGTTTTTGTGCACTTACCATTTTCAAAACGAGCAGCTGTAAACAATTGCACACTTTGGCGAGACCAGAGTGCAGATTGTATTTCATTTTGATATTCGCAGGAGTAAGCCATTGCAAAGTCAATTTGTAAAATACATTTTTGCTCATTAACATCGAAGTCAAATGCAGCTGCTTGGATACGTTTAGTTCTTACATGCTCTAAAAACGTAGAAAAGGTTTCTTGAAACAACTCAACAAGCTCTCCAGCACATCCTTCTTTAGTTTGCATTACTAATCGGCCACTTTCATTTTTATCCCACTTCTTCCAAAATACTGTTGAAACTGGGTCAATGTCAAATTTGCATAATTGCCCATTTTTGCAGACATCGCAGTTTCCTAGCCAGCATTCTGACTGGAGACTGTTGCTATTACACAGGGCGTTATCCCACCAGCCTCCATCATAGTTCACTTTCAAGGCTTTTAAGATGAGTCGAAAATTCTCATGATGTTTGCACTTGCATTGGTCCATTGGAGTGTTCTTCAGGAGCAACACATTTTTAGGCCTAAGTAAACAGAATTTGGAGAAACCAACTGATTTATCTTCCTTCACGGTATCTTTATATATAGCATAAGCCTCTCGCAAAAAAACTGTTAAATAATACTTACGCATCTTTTTTTTCTCGCCCTTTTCCCATACAACCATCTCGTCCTTTAATCCAGGCATTGTGTATACAATATCACTTCTGTAGTAAAACTCGATAACACTTTTATCAGTCTGGCTTAGTTCTGTAGTTGGGGAAACGTTATCATTACATTTGTTGAGTAGGTTTAGTCCTATCCTCTTCGCCACTCCGGTAATTACTTCAATCTTTTTTGTAGGTGAATTCGGTAGGCTTTTTAACGAACGTCTAACTGCTTTTCCCAAAGATTGAGGAGTTTTAAAAGATCTAGGACTCTTATTCAATGTTGGGCTTATTTGGTTTAGATTGTCACTAGGCCTATCAGCTTGAGACACACTAGCTTGACTATTCTCAGGAGCATTATTTAAGTTTTGAGTTTGTTTTTCGACGGCTAATCTTTTTCTTTCTCTACACTTGCGTTGCCTTTCTCTTGCTGCTTCCTTATACTTTTTCTTCTCAAACACTGTCATTCCTGTAACTTTCTTCTTTCTTACCATTTCTATTCTTTTACTCTCACTTATCTTGTAGTTTTCATAAGATTTTTTCTTATCTCGGAACCTTTTCACTCTTTCCGAAACTGTCATTGCTTTTTTGCTTGGTATTTCATCCATTTAAATTATTAAACTTAAAACTTGCACACCAAAAAGAACCCCTTACACTGAACTGCCTTACACGGGAAGCTAACAAGAAAACATAACCTCACACATAGTTTCCCTCCAAAACACAGAGTGTAGAGTACATGTGCAGCAGAGATTTCCCTCCATTAAAACAGTTGATGTTTTTTTTTCCACATAGAGGATACATAATGAATTTATCAAAATGATGAAAATAATACATTTTTGTAATGAGGAATTAACCAAAGTCATCAGGGTAAATAACATTTATAGGCCCTATGTATTAAAATAAACTAACCTATACCCAAGTTTAAATGCAAAGCGTCACATATGTAACAGTATTGTTACGTGTGTGACAAGTTTATTTTAATTAATAAAAATTAAAATACTTGAAATAAAATTTTGAAATTTTGCAAGATGTATTCCCTATACTTACTAACTTTGCATTAGCAATTTTGATGATTTTCACTGCCTTAACCCTCCGAGTGTCCATAGTTTAGGCCTTAATGTCCACCTATTTTTGGCCCCTTTGCAAGGTTTTATTAAAACGGATCTGAGAAGCTTAAAACAATGTTAATTCTAATGTTCTATATACCATTTTGTTTGGAAAATCATGGGCTTCAATATTATATATAAAACATAAGGAACATTTAAAAAAAAAAAAATTTTTAGGTAAAAAAAAAATATAATTTCGAAAATTTTCAAAAAAAAAATAAGTTCGCGCTCAATGAAATTGTATAAATTATAGGCCTATAAATATTTGAAAATAGCCACTTTGTTCTAAATTTAATGAGGATTACAAATATATAATCATATAGCGAGGTAAGTTATCAAATAAATAAGTTATGAGCGAAAAACGGATTTCAGTACATAGCGTTTAGCTAAGAATGCATAGCCTAACCATAGCTAGGAATCTGGCTGATAATTTACATCAATATCACTACCTACTTCTTCAGGATCATCAACCAGCACTTCAAAACCACTTAAATCTTCTTATAATGCACCACGTATATCACTACTTTTGATTTTTAACACTAAAACAATGATAAACGTAATAAAACACATCAGTCATCGGTCCGGGGGAACCTAGCTGTTTACAAATACACGCACGTCAGCTGTCTGCTACAATATTTTCGGAACTAAAATGAATAGCGCTTAGAGACAGACCTCTTTAGAAAGCTTAGAATATTACGGAAAGAACGATACCTAACTCGATCCAGTTCAATCCGATTCAGTCAGTCATAGAGCCTTCGCCGTAAACGATGTTTGTGCGTCTTAAAAGCGACGCGTGACCCTACACAAAGTGTGTTGTGCGTCGTTTTTATGACGCGTGACACTCGGAGGGTTAAGCATGAGGTATACAACTTTTAATACTTTTTTGTTACGTGTGTGACAATAATTGGTCCTTTACATAAAAAATATTATGTAAAATTATAAATTTTTGTGATTATTAATGTTTTTATATTATTAATATGAAGGATAAGGCTGTACATTACTAGCAATACAATTTCAAATAATTTCTAGTTAATATAAGTATGTATGTTATTTTTTAAATATAAGAATCGACTTTGATCATTTTGTACATTTATTTTTTGTTGACTTAAAATACATAATTTTTATGAAAAATGGTTAATATATTGTGCTTTAATAGCCCAGACATAAAAATATGTATAGTTGCCTTCAAATTAATGCATGTTATAAGCAAATTGGAGCAATTTTGATTTTTGGCCCCTCAGGACCACTTTTTGTGGAATCACCCTTTTGTTGAGCCTAATACCTCTCAACAAAGCCCTAGACCCGAACCAAGACCCTCTTCTCATGACATCCTACCTCACCTGAAAATATATAGTGATAGACATGGCAGGAATCTCTCTTGGATCATAGGGGAGAAGTTAAAAAGTTCATATAATGTGTCTGGTATAGTGATGGGCGATACGGGTCAATGTATCGATACTGCGTATCGATACGTATCGGAACGTGGTGTATCGATACGTGTATCGTATCGTATCCTCATGTATCGATTTTTATCTGTATCGGATAAAATATCGAATCGTATTGTTTATTTATAATTTATATATAAAAAAAAATTCTCAAATATACAAGCTGCATAGACAAATACTATGTTACTTACAAGCTTGTAAAGAGGGTTATAATAGGTTATTAAAAACTTATACAAGACCTTCCTGTGTCTTTTTTTGTATTAAACATACATACATAACCTCCAAATTCCGGTAAACCCTCAAATTGGAAAACATTTTGTTATTGTTTTCCTAATTTTTACACAAGGATAATTAATTGGACCAAAACTTACTAATAATGATGGTGGATATGCCACTTACACATTAAATAGTTGGCGGCCGTGATAATATGGACAATGAGGGTCCCCACTTCCATTAATGGTGGTCCTAGTTTTGAGGTTATTTGCAAAACAGCTGAAAATACATGTTTTATAAGTGTTTTTGAAGATTTGGGTAAAATATCAAATTTCCAATACTTCTTTTGAGGAGAGGAAGATGGGAAGACAAATTTCTTACTATAAAAATAAGATTTATATTAATAAATAAGCAATACGATATTCGATACGATATTGGCTATAGGTGTATCGATACGGGCATATCGATACACTCCCACGTAACGATACAAAATATCGATATTTTGCGGTCCTTGTATCGATATCTGTACCGATACGTATCGATACGCACATCACTAGTCTGGTACTGTTAAAGCTAATGGTAATATGGAACAAGTACTAGCTGGTATTGGTAAGGACAGAAGGCTAGATACAGTGGAAATGTTTTTTTTTAAGAGGTTGGCGGCCTCTTTTAACCTTGCATTTGCCCGTCCACATAGACTACAGATCTGTGCGTGGAACGTATCCAGTAAAGCAAGGGGTGAGCCGATACAGTAAAAAGGTGAACTGTACTGATACAATTTTTGTGGCTGTGACCAGGATCCAATCCCACAACATCGCTGCCTTGGATCCGAAGTCCGTGATGCTACCAACTGAGCCACCGACTCACCAATTGTTATTGTAGCCGGTACCAACAATTTTGATGTAACTGGGCGCTGTAACAGTTTTTTACCTGAGCAATAGCGTCAGTCCTCGTCCAACTCAAAAATTCCCTACTAACCGTGTTTTTGTCAACAAACATTTTTCAGGGGAAGCCTGAAAACCACCCGAAATCCCTTGGGCAATCTATCTTAAAGAGAGGGTGGGGTCCTCGCGCTCAAGCCTTAAGTTCCTGCACCAAAATATAAGACTGATAAGTAAAATAAACAAATTAGATATATTTGTTGACGATGAATGTCCTGACTTAATATGTTTGACCGAGCAGTTTTTAAAGGCAGAAGAAGCTGTAAACTCTACAATCAATGAATTCATGTGTAAACGTCTTTCTGCAGATCAGGAATGGTGGTGCCGGTATATGGGCCAAACCCGGAATCGAGTGCAAACCTCTTAATTGTGATGAGTTCTCTAAAGATGGCATTTGTGAACTCGCTGCTGTTCCAATAACCATTGATAGAGATGAGAAAAATTTTGCTACTGGCTACCACGATTACTAGAAAAATAAACATAAACAAAATGACGTTGTTGGCCTGAATCCTATACTAATAGCATTGAACATATGATTTGGCAGTTCCATTTAAGCAATGTTAAATAATGTTTATTTTCGGGCCAAAAACGTCATTTGTTTATGTTTATGATCCATACCGGTATTTTTCTAGTAATCGTGCTGGCTACTGACAGACCCCCAACAAACATGCATAAATAATTTTTTAATATACTACTGTAAATGAATGTATCAATAAATATTATAATCGCCGCAATGCAATTGTAGTTATGGGCGACATTAACATAAATCTTGCTTGCGATACACTTATTGCTCAACAGCTTATGTCAAACCTGGCCTCATTTGATCTTCATATCATAACAACTTATATAAGAGAAGTCAATGGGTCTCATACCGTACCCTCATTGACCATGTGTTTACAAAGCAAGAGCAACTTCGAGGGCTCTGTCATAGCTGCAGGCCTATCAGACCACAGTGCTCAAACAGCGATTCTGCATTTCAACTAGCTTCGAAAACCTGTTTTAAGTATTAGAGATCGTTTTCTAACTCAAACATACTCATCCTCATATTTTATTTCTTTAGAAAACTGGGATGAAGTTTATGGTGCAGCAGAACTGCAATCCAAGTTTGAAACCTTTTTTAAGTAAGATGTTTCTAAATATTCATTTGAAAAATCCTTCCCCAAGAAATACAAAAAGATCAATAAAAATACACCTAGAAAACAGATTCAGTCACCTGGGGTTACAAAATGTAAGGAACAGCTGTTTGCCCTCTATAATAGAACAAAAAATTTTGAATCGTCTCACTACTTGGTCCAACATTACAAACAAGTAAAAAATTAGTATAGACGTTTAACTTATTAAGGCAAATTAAGTCAGATAACACTTACAAATATGAAAAAGTTTGGGGTTGACCAAGTAATTGCTCAGAATTAGCCTACCAATGAAACTGTTTAATCTCCTACGCTGAGGATACGTGTCTGGTAACCTAACGTGGATTAGGCGTCCGGCAGTGACGTCACTGGGTTGTGGGGGCTCGGAACACCATCAAGTTACCACAACAAAATGATTTACAGCCATGGGTTTTCGTGGTGTAGTGGATAGAGTATTCGGCTGTTATACAAGAGGTATCTAGATCGAATCCCATCGGTGACACGGCTGCACTTTACTTGACGTCCTACACTCATTCGATTGTTTTTTTCGATTCAATATTTTCATTCGATATATCGTTTGGTTAGTTAGGTTAGGTTAACCTTACCTAACTAACCAAACGATATATCGAATGAAGCAATCGATTAATCGATCGATATTTTCATTCGAATGAGTGTAGGACGTCAAGTAAAGTGCAGCCGGTGACACTAACTTTTTGACCTAGATTTTGCTTAGAATGGCATTTCTTCTTAACTGTAGGCCTACATCTTTTGTTAGAATTTGAAGCATCTATAATTTTATTTTGTGAAAAGAATTTAACCTTCATTCGATTTTTGTACTATCAGCAAGTTTGGTTAGTTAGGTTACGCGTAATCCTCTGCCTATAACCTAACCAAACTTGTTGATAATTATAAAAATCTAAAAGGTTTACTAACCGAACCGATATTTTCAATCGATAGTAGCGTAGCCCAGTTAAGAAACTGTAAGTATCCCAAAAGCTTAAGTACAAGTTTTAGGCATACAGCTATAAAATAAACCTACTTACTTTTTAAACCTAGGTAGCCTAGGCCTAGTATGTTGCAGTATCCTCCCTTATTACAATTAATTTTTTAACTTACACAACTCTTTGACAGTTGCATTTTATCTATATTTTAAATTTAGGTACCTACGAGTACAGAGTCTTGACCCTTTAGTTAGTTTAAACCGTTATTTTAACTGCATTGCATAACTTCAACGTTGAACAAAGTTATAAACTTAACCTGTGAAGTGTGAATGCCTTTCTTTGATAAATCGAAAAATCAAATCTTTTTCTTTTCTACCTACCTAACCCTAACCTAACCTTCACGTCTATAAACCCTATTCGCCATTCGGTGATCTTCTTTTCTAGTTTGCTTTTAAAAAAGCTGGCATAGTTGAGTTACCATGTAGCCGCACTATTACACCTAAAAACGACTGTTTTATACATTTTCCCGTACTTTTTCGAAATGCTACACGGCTACCTTTAACTGCAGGCACGGCCACCTTTAACTCCAGGAAAAAAACTGTTTTGGTTTTTAATTCTACACGTTTCATTTTCAATATTTTAATAAATAATTTATGTTCATAAATTTAAATTCAATGAATAAAATGCGAATTAATAAGCTGATGGCAGACAGGTGACACCAGCTCATTAATTCGTGTATTATTTATTTAAATTTTAATTTATGAACATAAATTTATTAAAAGATTGAAAATGAAACATGTAGAATTGAAAACCAAAACAATTTTTTTTAAAGAGGATGGCGGCCTCTTTAATATTTTAATTGAAAATCTATTTTTGTACATTTAAAGCAGAGTCAATATTTTTATAGATCAGTGAGTAACCAAGCTTTCTTGTTCTTACAACATACACAAATACCAGCTCTAATAAATTGAGTTTACCGAGGTTGATAGCTTCTAATCAAATTAGTAATTCTGTGTTACCAATTATTACGTTTCTTTTTGCTTTTTCCCATCGTCTATTACTTAGGCTCGACTCTGTGACATTTATGCACAAATACAATATATAGCCAATGATTATACTGTACTGCACAAGCTGGTATTGTTATGGCGATGCTAGTGGATGTGAATAGACTTCCACCACGGCCACCTTTAACTCCTGGGGCCTTATTTTTGAAATGGTTGACTTTTGAGTTGAGTGTTGAGTCACTTACTTTCCAATCGTTTCGTATTTTTCAAACGATTGACAGTTAGTTCAGTTGACTTATCCAACCAAAACTACTCACCACCACTGATCTATAATAATAACTGGAGTAACCACTCTGTGTTTAAAAAACGTACCACTGTTTTTTCTGGTTTTGTTTCAGAGTTTTGTGTTGTTAGGTTGGCCGTGTGATCGGTTGGTGGGACTTAAATCAAATTAGAGGCAAGATCAAGATGGCGTCATCCTGTTGTTTTGTTTTGTTGATAGTAAATAAAAATTTGTCAACATTATGATTGTAATATAAGTTTAATTATTTATTTTACGAGCAACCCATTTTAACAAGAACATAAACCGATGGTCGTTATTTGATCAAATGCCATAGGTCTAAACCCAAGACTAAACCAATATCTACAAACCAGGAAATGCTTGACTATTTTCACCATTAATCATAGCTTCAAAAGAGGTTAATAAGTTAGTATTACTATCAAAAACAGGGGAGCAAGCTGGCGTAGTGGTTAGAGCGCGGGACTTCAGTCCCTGAGGTCCCGGGTTCGATCCCCGCCAAGTCACCAATGGATTTTATTAAGTCAATGATTTTATCTAAGTGATAATGCCGCAACCCCTAGGTCTAGCCTGAAGAAATGTGAAAAACAATCCCAGGCTCGTGCCTAGCGTCCTTAGGAAAAAAAACTCTCAAAAACAATTTAGAATGTTTCAAAATAACTTAAAGTACACAGGTTTTAACGTGCAATAAATTAAATAAGTTTTTAATATAAGTCCTTGAAATAACGGATAACCCCGAATAAATAGGTGGCATGGTTAGGTTAGAATTAATTGAATTTGACAGCATCCCACCAACCAATCGTACAGCCAACCTAACAACACGAAACACCGAAAACAAACCAGCAAAAACAGTTCCACGTTTTTCTCTAATCTTGTTGTAGTTCTATCATTGATTATAGTCAATGGTTCTATGGTAAAAACGTTCTTACTACCTTGTAATGTAAAACGTAAATAGCTATTTGTTACACCTATGCTTAAATTAAATTAAAGAATGTCATAAACTAAATTGTATGTGGTTGATTTTTGTGTTTTATAATCTGTAGTAGATGTGTAACCATATTCAATCATAAAATGGTAGTACAATTAAAATACTCTTATTTTATCTTAACGTAGCTTGTAGCTCACAATTTTTTTGGGTATGTTGATAGGTCTGCATTTATTTTTTGTGTGTGTTTCTACACAGCTAACTAAATTAAAACAAGGAAAATATGATAACATTAAGCTAGCAGTGTTGTTCTGTTACTAAAACCAATTAATCAATAAAAGGTTACATTACCTACAGACTGCCTTGTGGGTTTTGTTAATCCAGTAGGATTACGTACGTTTCGGCAAATATATTGCCATCATCAGATCCAGAACTTGAAGGTTAAAATCTTGATTTTTCGACACACATGGTCACGTCAGCACACGTGACCATGTGTGTCGAAAAATCAAGATTTTAACCTTCAAGTTCTGGATCTGATGATGGCAATATATTTGCCGAAACGTACGTAATCCTACTGGATTAACAAAACCCACAAGGCAGTCTGCAGGTAATGTAACCTTTTATTGATTAGCTAACGTGGTTTAGAAAAACAACTACATTATGAAAATAAAACCAATTAAATATATGTTGATATGTTTACTTAGTCAATGGTAGGTGGTAGGTGTAAAAATGTAAAGGCAATGGACTATGGAACTGAATAAAAGAACTGGTTTAAATAATATTATGTTGTTCGTTGATATTTTTGTTGAGTAGAGTCAGAGATGCAATGAAACATATACTGTATTTGCTATTATATTTTTTAGTCCTTGATGCTCTGATAATCATATTAGTTTTTGTCTGCAGTTTTTAATGCTAAACTAATAATCTACATCTTTATATAGTGTAAATATAGTTTCTTTAATATTTCAAAAGACTATTGACAAGGCACAACAATATTTCTAAAGTTTATAACAACTGATGTTAAGTGTAGTCCATTATTTATTGTGAGTGAAGACGGAATAATTATAGTGATTTTAAACAATATTGACTAAAACAATTGTTCATATAAATTAAATAATAATTAGTAGTTTTGCAACTTCAAGTTTGAAATTTAAAATGTCTAAAATAATTAGAAAGAAATGTAAATAAGGGAGATGAAGGTTAATCATGTATGTGAAAATGTTATTTGAAAATTTAATAAGATTTTCACATATCAGTCTACACAAGATTTAAAATTAATCAAAACCGAAATTGTGGTTTCCACTACTTACCAGATTAAAAAACCATAAATGTTTCTATAAAGGCCATAAAGGTTGAATTTTGGGCTGCACTTTAGTATCAGTTCTACACTCATTCGATCGATCCAAATACGTGTTTGTATCAATGTAATGTGATATTGATTCCCCAATAGATTTCTCTTGGCGATGGATCGTTCCCTAGTTGATTTGTGATGCGTAATGCTATTTGAATTCAAGATGGGTCATGAGCAACCATTTCATACTTCTATATGGGAATTTATCCTGCAGCTTATGATCACCGGCTCAAGGATTTGCCCAAAAAGTAATGCCAAATCTACTTGTGATTTTGAGAACCTCTGAAAAATCACACAGTATAGAGCTAGAAACAAGATTAACAAATATGTTAAGTCAAAATTAAATTAGTATGACAACACGGTATTGACAATAATTATTTTCTAACAGCACAACACTCTCATGCATGGGCAGTAGTAGTCTATTCAGAATTTATCTTAGTATAATAATTTTATAATTGTTAAAGTTTGTGTGTTTGTTTGTTTGATGTTGAATTATGCATTAACTACTGGTCAGATTGGGCCGAAATTTGGTATTATGAGCTTATACTCCTGATTAACGTATAAGCCTATTTTTATCTCAAACACCCTTTCCAGTGGCTATGGAATTTACCATGTAAACCTTTATGAGCCATTTAAAAGTAATTTAAGAATTATGCCAGCTATTTCAACCAGACAAGTTGGTTAGATATCCAATAGCGTTAAAGTTATAAGGTTTACCAATAGGGTGCAGCACTATTAATTGTTTCGTTATTTTATGACAGCAGCTAATTTGAACCAATGAATACAATAAATTCATTGTTTGAACTAAGCAGCAACAAAAGCTGCCACACACAATGAGAACTGTCAAAGTACTAAAACATTTTGTATAAATAAAATAAAATTAGAGTTTTGTCTGTACATTGCTCAAAATTATAAATTTTTAGATTGTTTTCCGTTTTATACATTAAAGAAGCCGAAACAAGTCTCATCTCTGTTTCTGTCTGTCTGTCTATCTGTCTGTTACGGTCCAAGAGGCATTTTACGCGGCCTTCTCCTGAAAAACGAGAGTACCTATCAAGACCCAAATCATTTTAATGTATTCACTGGATTGGCGAGATTGTCTTTAGCCATTAAAATATGGCCTCACTACTTAGTAAATAAAATGACGGACGTTTAAAAACCCAATTTCGTGCGATTTTTGTCAAGTTTTCTCCCAATGTCCATCACATAATCATCTATGAAATAACGAAAAGCTGTTCGGATCACGATTATTTCTTCTAGCTGTCACTGATATGTTTACATTAAATGTTGTTTACAAATACCGCAAACATTTCCAATAACGTTTTGAAAGCAATATCCAAACCAAGTGAGATTAAAAACGATTTTCCTTACATAAAGGATTTAATTAATCGAAAGTTTAATATTGTGTATTGTAACCGTAAATGAAATTAGAGATTCTTTTGTGTATACAATTGTTCTGAAGTTTTTATAACCGGAAAATACATTGAATCAGTGTTGTATAGGGCTGGGAAACTTGCATTTATAAACCATTTTTAGGATTGTTTACAGTAATGTTTATGTATTAGCAAATCTTCCAATGGGGAAGTAGCTATTACCGTAGGTCTCAAGGTAAGACCTAGGCCCGGGACCGATTTACTTTTTCATTTTGATGTCCCCAGAGGCATAAAACACTATTCGTTCAAATTTTAAAGATATATATATATATATATATATATATATATATATATATATATATATATATATGTCAATGAAGACGATAACTTGAGTAATTTTTGTCCAATTTTGATAAAATTTCG